CCCTAAACCCTAAACCCTGTATTTAATTGTTGAACCCTAAACCCTCAACTCTGTGATCAGTCCAGGGGCGCTGTTGTGGGTGAAAGGCGGGGCCTGCACCGAAAAACGCCGCGAAAAGATCTTCCGGAGTCATGAAGTCCTGGAGTCAAGGGGCCCATTGGGGTAACTATAGGGCTATATCGAAATTATATTGGGATAATGGAAAACAAAATGGAAACTACGATCATGGGTTATAAAGGGTTTAGGGTTCACTGTTTAAGGCTCCAAGGACCCTAAGCTGGGCTGCTGTTAATGAACTTGAATTAACTTTTCACAACAAGGGTATACAGGAAGTCCTGCAGCCACGAGGTTTAGGATTTAGGGATTTAGGGTTTAGGACTCAGGGTTTTAGGATTTAGGATTTAGGGGACAGGCTTTTTAAGCTTTAGGGTGTAGGCGTTTTGAAGGTTTAGGGTTGATTTGTGGGTTGAATTTTAGGGGTTTACGATGTCGGCCTGTAGGTGTTTAGGTTGTCTACGCTTTCAGAGGTGTAGGGTTTAGGCTGTAGGGTTGCGGGTTCCGGCTTTTTTGTTTGGGAGTCATGAAGTCATGGGAGCAAGTGCGGAGTTGGGGTTCAGGGGTTGAATTTCAGTTCAGCAGTTTGGGCCTCTTGCAATTAATTATGGGGAGACTGGAAACTTGTTGGAGGCATGAAGGCTTGGGCCACCGAGCAGGATCTGATTGAGGACGTGGCCTTTTTTGTTGCGCTTCGGGTGTTCCGTGCTCGGGCTCCCACCGTGTGTGCAGCTTCCGACAGCAAGCCAACCTTGCATTAAGACTGCATGATGGAAATGTTCCCAGAGTCACGTTACCTTGGACTACGATGCAACGCAACCAATCAATCAGCTAGTTATAGTTGGCAGTTTCCCAAAATTAGAGGTACCATTTTGGGGGTCCCCATAATAAGGGGTATAATGTTGTGCGGTCTATATTGGGGCCCCCTTACTTAGGGAAACTGCCAAAACAAGGTACCCTATGTCTTAGAATGGCTTCGAAGGAGACATTGCCGTCTGAGATTGTCTTCAGGTAACATACTCTACCTTTTCGGGGCCGAAAGGAATCATAGTTTGGGTTGAGCCCCTACCCATTCATAGCAGTACGGTAGGAAGATATAGGACCCGAATATGAATACTCAACTTTCCTTTGCGGCCTAACCCAGACCATAATCTCTCAATAATCACCCATGCATCTGTTGAATCGGCACTCCGCGCCTGCTGATAGTGATGCCGATGCTGCTGTGGGATTCGTTCCTCATCGCCGTAGGTGTCATAAACTTGCCTTGCACTATGCCAGGGCATTCATGAAGGGCCAAAATTGCCCAGTACTAACTAGGGGTTTCAACAGTGTGCTCGTGGGCTCGCTTTGGGCAGGCATTTCAATGCCAAATGCCGGCATTGTCGCATCTAGCTCAAGATGTGGTATCACCCTGGGAGATTCCTCACAAGTGCTGCTCTCATTGCTTGGTAAATTGGGCCCTTCAGGCCTTGAATCAGTAACAGCTTTCATCCAAAGTTAACTGAGGCAGCGCTTGAAATTCAATTTCAAGCGTTCGTATACATGATATCTCGTCCGAAAGGACACGAGAGTCACATTAGATGGTGTTCAGACGCGAGCCACCCGACCAACTTTCCTGAGCAAGCCTAACCCACCTTCTGACCCAAAACCTCAACTCGAAACAACCCTAATCTAGCTAGTTTAGTCCTTGCTGGCTGCATGCGCTGAGAACAAAACCTGCCAAAAGCTGCACACCCGCCGTTGCCAACAGACAGTCCCCCCAAAATGTCCCAAGCCCTCGAACTCCAACTCCCCTAAAACTCTTGCGCTATCAAGTACAAGAACTTGAGAACTCTGACCCCTCCCATGGAGCTACCAGGCTTTATGTAGGAGGGTCCTAAGAGTCGCTACGTGATTGATAAATGTCGGGCCAGCTGGCTTCTTCTCAGGATCTGTGAGGCACTGGAAGGCTTTCGACAGCTTCTTGAAGGCCTGTCTGATACGCTTCTAACCCTAAACCCAAAACGGCTCTGGAGCTTGGGGTTGAGGGCTTAGTGGATTTCATAGGTTTACAGGGTTTAAGGGCTGAGGGGGCTGAGGCTGTTGGCTTGCAGCTGTGGGGCACTACAGTATGTCAGCTATAGTCCAAACTCCTTAAAGGGTTTCTGCAGGGGACTGCAAAGAGAAGCTTTATATGGCTCGTCAAGGGGGATACTTGGGGTTTAGACTATAGCCTATGTAGGATGATTTACGCTTTTAAGTGGCCATCCAGGGGAGAGGGCGGGGTAACGCAGTGCGCATGGACAGTGGAGATTTCGGATGACCTTTGTTCCCAACTAACCTCTTTAGGTGGGTTCAAGGGTTTAGGGTTTTGGGCCCTAAGCCCTAAACTCAAACCCCAAATCTTAGGGCTTGCGGTGGCCCAGATTGTCATCATCAAAGATTCCACCAAATACACAGAGCTTACAGATGGGGTTCTCAGGATTATGGGTCCACATGTCCCACGGAAGTATGCGAACTCTCTTACGTGGTTCACAGGGGACGAATATGTCGCAAACTGTCTAAAGGAAAAGAAGCGATGGCCAGGAGTTGCCTAAAATAGTGTGCAAGGCTTATTGGATGAAACCATCTGCAGGTCACCTTCTCTCTACCTCCCTCCCATGGAAGAACACTCCCCAAAGTCCCAGAACTAATATATATATATATACATATATATATATACTCTATATATATATATACAGATATGTCTATGTATACTTCACCCCCTAGTAACATACTCGATTATTTCCTCATGCGTTTATTCTCCAAGGGATCTGAGAGGACTCTGAGGAATACTCCCACACTTTAATGCTTCCAGTCCAGGCTTGCGGTAAGGCTTTAAAGGTCTTATCTGGGCCTTCTACAGTCCCCTCACTGCATGCTTCTCTGACTTACAGGGGGGGTAGTAGGAAAAAAGAAATATAGTAAATTGGGATATGATCCATAGCCTGGAGGGTTTAGGGTTTAGGGGCCTCATATTCTTGCAAGAGTATGTGCCTGTCTTTAGGGTTTAGGGTTGAACATGTATACTGTAACTTAGTCAGCCGGAGGCCCAGACCTAAGGGAACAAACCACACGATTTGAACCCTGAACCCTGAACATTCAAAGCCTGAACCCTGAACTTGAAATCCGCACCCTCAACCCTAAACCCTATAGCGTGAACTCTAAAACCGTATAGGCCCTAAACTACCAAATTGAACTCTAACCCCTAGACCCTGAACCGGAACCTCATGCGCCAAACCGCTTCCCTGTCCTCGTCGGCTCCAGGGGCGCGGTTCTTGTCGGGATGAAGCTTCAGCGCCAACTTGCGGTATGCCTCTGCGGTCTGGGTTTGGGGCTTATTTTTTCTTTAAATTAGTCAGGGGCACCGTTTAGGGGGTCCCTATAGCAAGGACTACAGTATTTTGGGGTCTATATTTGGGTCCCCTTATCTGGGGAAAATACCTGATGGCGCTGAGGACTTAAGGCGCAGGGTTCGGTTTGAAGCACGCTTCAGTGCCAAATTTCGATACACAAGAGTTGAGGGCTCATAGGGATCAAGGTTCCGGGTTCAGGCATATACGGCTTAGGATGTAGGGTTGAGGGCTGGTGACCCATGAGACAAATGTTGCTATCTACTGAAACTGAAGAAAGGTCGCGCTACGTGTTTTTCTGGACGAGCTGATAGCTGTTGCGTGTCATGCAAGCAAATTGAGGCATGACAATGCGGCAACGGTTAAAAGGGACCAAATGAAGTGCTAACATCTTGTGTGTGCAAATCGAAGGCAAGTGCCCGCAAGAATGCTCTTGGACCCGCGCAGACGCAAACACTTACGCCTGGTTTCTAATTCCAGGGAGTGGGGGAATAGATCCTTCTAGTACTGTAGCAGTTAAGGGTTTCGGGTTTAGGGCTTAGGGGGCTCTAAACTTAACATCCTGCCGTATAGCAATTGTTCCTTCATTCCGTACTAACCGCCAGTAAGAAAACCCTAAACCCTAAACCCTAAACCCTAATCTTAGGCCCATGACTCGAAGCACCGGCTCCTTGTAACCAGGCGAAAATCTGACAGCTCATGTCATGGAACCTCAAGGACTATACCAAGCTCCCAAGTACCGTCCTGTAGAACCTCAATACCTCCAAAAAAAGGACCTACAGAGTCCTTACTGGGCGATCCTGATGCCCTAAAGAGTTTATGGCTCATGTAGCCTCTAGGGCTTTTTGTAGCAAAGGAATTCTGATACCATTGTAGGGTTTTTGTTGTCTCATAAGGAAGCGAAGAAGATTGAACCCAAACACCCAAACGCTCCCATGTATATATGTGTCTCAGCTCACAAGCGAGGAAAGATGCCTCACCTGATCTCAAAGGGTCCATGTAGGTACATGGTGTATACTTAGGGCTTGAAGGGGTTCCGGTAAAACTACTTGGGGTTGCAAATACATACTATATAGCTACATGACCCCTGCGAAAGTTTCACAGGGCCTCAACTCCCTCTGTGGGTCCAAGGACACAAGCATAATTACGGCTTCTAAGTAGAGAAAATGTTCAGACTATGGTTTGGGAACTGTCAACCTCGTAGGTACTGAGACCCTGAAGCCTTAACACCTTCAGGGCCTTAAGGTGTTTTCCAACACCTCAGACTACCTAATCCTCAGCTACCCGGCATCATCAGCTCAGGTTTTATTGTGTTTTCTGCCACATATACAAGACGGCCCACCTCTAAACCTCATAATTACAGCTTTCTAGGTGAAGGAAGTCAGCTTCCATTTCAAGTTCTGACTTCCGGCCTTCTTTGAAACTTCTTCGCTCGCGTTCTTTGGCACTTCGAGGATGTCGTAATAATCCTGCGGGAAGGAGATGCCAGAAAGCAGCAGCACCAGCATCCCACCCTGAAAGCATGCCGTAGCATGCATCATGCTATTTCAGTGTGTCAAGTATGCAGCCTTGACTGTAGGGCTATGGGAAGTAGGGTACTCCTTGTATACCTTATCATGAAGCATAGGCCAAATAGTGGGCAGTAATTTCGTGAAACAGGGGATTATGTAGGGACTGCTTCCGGGATCCAAGCCCCGACTCCCTTGTTGCTAGC